GTGCGACTAATGATTTTGGTTGATACCATTTTTTGGCATCACAAAGAATTTAGCTATTACTAGCTCCTGAAACCTGTAGTGATTCAGTTTTGAAAGAAGGCAGCATATGAAGAAAAAAGCTCGTCCTCATCACTGGCCCTTCCCCACTCCCCTTCCCCTTCTTTCGACATCATGCTGCCTGATAATATGGTTCAAATCTATGTAGTTCCATGTAATTTTTGGGAACATTAATTTTTTGCATTTCAAGATTGGTTTGAGATTGTTGTTGTGCGAAAAACACTTTAATCAACAACGCTTTAATACACAATTTTATTTACAATCGCTTTACAAAGCAGCAGATGTGCCAGAGGTGCCACTGACATCACCTCCGGTACTGGTACCACCACCAGTTGTGCCTCCAGTCGTGCCACTGACATCCGTACCACCGGTAGTTCCGCTGACATCGGATGTGCCTCCGGTAGTGCCACTGACATCGGTCGTGCCACCGGTTGTGCCTCCCGTAGTGCTACCGCTCGTTTCTCCACCAGTCGTGCCACTCGTAAAACCACTAGTGAAACCAGAAGTACCGCCAGTCGTAGTGCCGCCGGTCGTACCCAGAGTGGTACCACCAATAGTAGACAAACCTAAAACAAGCTAAAAGTTAAAAAAAGGTTGAAGGTTGTTTTGCAATACGAGACCTCCGACTCCAGTCGTTGTTGTTCCGAATGCGCTTCCTGTAACTCCTCCAGTGACTCCGGATGCATCGACACCGTATCTTTTGTACATTCCGCGATACCTAAGCCGGCGGTCAGTTAAATGTATCGCTATCAAATCGTGTTACCGCACCAGTCTTGATATACATTACGACGGCCAAAATAGAGGAAAGATCCGAAAATAAGCAGCGATATCGCAGAGCCAACAAAGAATCCGTAGAATATAGCCCAGATCATCCATCCTTTCCGACCTTTTTTGACCTCGGTACCATATCCTTAAACACGAAAATCAGTTCATAAATGAATGTAACAAATGTTCATAAATGTAACAATGAAACACGGCATCATGCCTTTTGCAAAAAATTCTTCCAAATCTACTTTCTGTGTGGTCGTTGGCTTTGCTTCAGCGGACACATTTGGTGT